TCTGGCTGGGGCTTTTAAGAGCTTTTCTGCAGTGATTAAAAATATTATTTTATTTGGTTTCTGTTGATGGATTTTCATTAATTAATTGATTGGTATTAGGGGTGTTAAGGAAATATAAAGATTTATGTATGTATGCATGTGTGTTCTATTCAGTTATCCAGTCTTCAAAGAAATAACCTTAAAAACAGGAAAAAACTAAAGTTATAGATCGCCAAAATAAGTTAAGTTAAATTAATAATCTACGGATAAACTAAAGAAATATTATAATTTAATTTTAATTTATAACCAAATTTAATCTTCCGGGAATTTCTTATAAATTTCCTGAAAATTTCGGCAGCTAAAAAAAGGTGGTCCCATACATTATTCGATATTTTCAGCCATTTAGAATTGTTCGATTTGACATTTGGACTTTTCAAATAGGCAACGACAAGAAAACAAGGAAACAAAGGACATCAAGTAGCATGGTAAGCTCGGAAAACGGGACGCAGTGATCGAGGCTTTAAAGAAGCAATAAAAGAGATTACAGATGTTGCAGAAAGATCAGGTTTAGCAGCGGAAGATGACGGTGTATCACAGGATCGTTGTGCAGTATTATCTTTTTATCCTTTAGGATCTTTCTAAAGATGTTTCGTTATGCACAATATCTTCAAAATCATTCTATGCTATATTACCTTCTCCCGTTTGTTAATACAGAGAAGCCCGAATCCATTAATATTTCATTTCTATATTTCATAAATATTATACCTCATGATATGTAAGACCTTTGCTTTTCACTATAACACTTGACTCTCTCCGATTGTCTATCCAGCATTGGAATCGGTTGGGTTTCGTAAGCCAAAAGCTTTAAATATTTAACCGCTGCTGCATACGGCGGCTCCCGTTGTTGGCCTTTTATTGCCGGCGTTCCTGGCTGGCGGAAAACCGCATGCTGTTGTAGATTAAGCCACAAGACTTTGCCAGAAATTCACTCCAATAACGGCAGCACATGCACATGCAGAAGGAGCTCTATTTATAGTTTGACGTTGGATTTTATTTGCAGTGTTTTTGATTTTTTTGTTGTGTCCCGTACCACGATTAAAGCCAAAAGGTCGGTCTCTGTGTGTGTTGCCTGGAATTTATCTTATTGCATGCCGGGGACTGAAGCTCGAGTTTCCACCGAATTTTCCAACCTTTGTGGGGTTGCCTTTTGTGTTTCGGAGGAGCGAACAAATCGCAACATTACAGCTCCATGCTGTATCGGGTTTTTTATTGATATTTGCGGCATACAATTGTTGCGCTCTTGCCTGGACTTTGAGTTTGTGTAGTACACCTTTTGGCCTTGTTAAACCTCCAGCTCTAAACGCTGTCTATTCGTTGGCCTTTCGACATATTTATGGGTTCAGCTCGAAGTAACTTAATTAAAGCCCGCTCACCTGTCAGGGGATCATCCTTCAAAGGGCTCGTTGAAAACAGTCGAAAAAAAAGTAACAGAGTGCTTTAAGAACTAAAAATAGGTTAATTTAAAAATATAGTATCATCTAAAATTTAATTTTAGTTTATATTTTACTGTAAGAAGTTCTTAAACAGTAAATTCCGGAACACATATTTTTTCCCAGTGCAGAAACAGCAATTTTCAGGCCAGGAAAAACGTGATACCATTCGATTTTTTACCAGCTTAAAAAGTCATTCATCAATTAAATCGGCACATTCATCAAAACAATTTTCTCCCATGTTGATGTCAACATGGCTTCACTGTGGTGACGTCAACAGAGCACGTGTGAGGTGGACTACTGTATGACATATATGCCTCTGTATATATGTATGTGAAATGGGCCTCTGAGTGACTTTTGGCATTTCATTAGTCCGGCGACGGTTTATGAAGGGCCATGAATGTCGAAGGGCTCCGAGGTCAACTGTTCTGAAATTTATTTGATTTCTTGACCAGAATGAATGGAAACCTTGTCAAATGGCGGAAAGCGAGTGAGTGGGTTTCATTGGAACTTATTGAAACTTTAAGTTGCGCAAAGTACGTGATGTAAAGGAGTTCCATTAGCATGCCTCGGATCATTTTTCATTTTGTGTTCCCGACAAAGAAAAACTTGTTTTCCCTGGTTGTTTTTTTTTTTGGTTCTGTATCCTTAAGGACTTCACACTTAATTGCTTTTTCACGCCTCTCGCCACCCGGAAGGAATATTTAATACACCCTGACGTTCCGCCATTGACGGCGGCCACTGACAGCAGCTGTCAGCTCAGTTTGTATTCACGGCGAAGACAGCTTCTCCTCCTTTCAGCCACCCAAAAACGCCTCCACTAACATCCTGCCTGCCCCCGTCTCCGTCACGTCCATGGCCTGCAAATTGCTCATTTCAAGGCTAATTTGTTAGCATATATAGACACGAGCAGAGACAAAAGGTAGTGGCACAGAGAAAAAAATAGTTAATTAATGCTAAGATAACTGAGAAAATGAGTTGCAAAAACATATTAAAGTTAATGCTAAGTAATTAATTATGAAATAATTAAAAACCCTAAATAGTTTGAAGTAAAATAGTTATTCAATAAAACTTTTCTAAGTGTAAACCCCGCAAAGACAGCGCATAACTTGTCCGCCAAGGTGGACCAAAATTTGTCAGGCAACAGATGCATAGCCACCCCCCTGAGCCCCCGTCTTGCACTTAATTACAGCGCAGTGTCAGCTAAATAAATTTATTTACATAATTTTAATTAAACAAGCAAACGGAAACTGTCACCCCGAAAATCAGCCTGTCTGTCAGGGTCAAGCATGCGTCCCCCTGGACTGTCAGTCAGTCACAAGGTGTCGGTGGTGGCAAGAGGATGTCACCAAACTCCAGGCATCCTGAGGCTTCTTTTTTTTGGGGGTGGATCTGTTGCCAATTTTGGTGTGCTTAACGATATAATTAGATTGTTTTGTGGATGGCTCAGTTTTTTTGTGTTGCTCACCGACTGTGATTTTCAATATGCCAGAAAGACAGGTGACTTCCAGGCCCCTTCCCTTTGCCGTCTGATGTTTCCTTTCTATATTTTTTTGTGTGTGTGTTTGTGGAAGTTGCGGTAAATTGGGGTGACAAACCTCATTAATTACAAATGACTTCATTTCTTTTGTTTAGCGAGCATTTGGGGGATTCCCATTCAGCGAGTCTCTGAGGTGTGAAGTGTGTGTGTGTTGTGGGTGAGAGTGTTGTGACAGCTGAAGGGCAGAGGGCAATGGGATACTTTTCCATGGAAATGTTAGCCAATTATCATGTTGATGGGAAGTTTAGTTGGACAAAAGCCTTGGAGGACGAGCAAAAATGCCAGAAGTTTTGGGGAGGCTTGCCGATATTATATCATAGGACTTCAAGGGGTCTTATCATAGATTTCTTAGCCCATTAAAAGCCAAAGTAATTAAATTTAATTAAAAATGAATTAAAGTTTTGGTAGTTCTAATTAAACTGGAATTAAATTGAATTGGCTATCTTAAACCTTTCCCAAAATATCCAAATTAGCTTCCATTTTGTAAACCTTTTTATTAAATTTTGCATTTTTTCATGTCATCGAAATTTTGTAGGTTCTAGCAAATTCCATTTGAAGACTCCTCCCAAAAAGCAACAATTAAATATATACAATATTTGTTTTTCCTAAAAGAGCAAAAGAAGGGCTCTCTCTCTCTTTTTTTGGGAGATGGGGGAAGGCTTTTAGCCAAAGTCCCAAGTTGCTTATAAATTGTTCTATGGCCGCCAAACACATTGCAAAATGTGACAAATATGCATTTGGCAACAATAAATTTTACGACCGCAGTCGCCGCCGAAAATATATTTCACACAGTCTGGAGCTGGAAGCAAACTTTAGAGGCGGAAGGAGGCGGGAGGAGGCGGGAAAGGCGGCGGAAATCCGCCAAGGGAATAACTCCATATCCATATAAATATAAATTAGCATATTTTGCGGCGCCAGTGCGGCGACAACTGCAATTTCTCTCCATGACCAATTGTAATTAAATTGTCGCGAGGCCAGAAAAATTCACACACACGCATGTTACATACGAGTGTGCAGTGCACAAATATAATTGCTAGATTTTATTGCTGCCTTGTTTTTTTGTAATTCAATTTGTCTGATTTATGCCGCCAGCTCAATCACAATTTAAAATGCCAAACGGCCAGCGTTCCGCTGATTTGTCGGCCTTGTTAACGCCAATTTATGGTCGATGCCTGATTATTGCCAATTAGCTGGAATTGTGCTACCTCTGCCTCAGCCCAGCAGCCCAGCAGCCCCTCGGTCCGCCCCCTTTCGCCAATTGCATTCATCCCCAATCGCAGGGCCACCTAGTGCAGGCTTCCACAAAAAAAACAACTAGATTTTGAGTGAGTTATTGCCGAAAAAGCGCACACAAAAGGCGCATGCGCTGCCAAAAACTATCTCGAAGGGGCAAAAAAACAACCAAATTCCTTGAGCAGTTTTCAAGAATTTTACTCAAGAGTACCTACTCAATTGTGAGTGGAAATAGTTAGATTTATTTTAGGAAATTCTAGTTTTCCCCCTTTCTATCATGTTATTAGCCTAAAATTAAAAGGCAAGTGTCAAGGCAGCATCAAGAGTTGCAGAGGCTAATCAGATCTTTTCTACAATTGATTCGATTTTGGCCATATTTCATTGCTACTTTGATAATTCTAAAGAGAAACTCTACTTTAAGCAGGCTGTCATTCCAAGAAATCAGCAATCACCACTTTTGAAGCAATCCTTCTTTGACCACGAAGGCTGCCAATCGAGAAGAAGAAAACTATCATAATTTTAAGAGGTTACTTTTTTTTGCCACTTATACTCTTGTATGATTTCAGTCAGAAGTTTCGTAGCCCAACAACAGACGATCTAATTTAGATCATTGCCTTTGTTCCAGTGTTTTAAGAAGACATTTTAAGGGTGCAATAAAAGCGCAAGAGGTGCAAGATTTATTAAAAACTTTCGTTGCTTATACACACATAATATTTAAAAAACACATATTTAAATTTCTTTTAACGTGATAAATAATCTTAGCCACGATATCTCTTATATAGGAGCTCAATTATAAAGACTAAAGTGCTTAAAAGCATACCGGCCATGAATAATGTTATAAAAATTGAGTAAAAGGATATGGTCAACGGTTTCCACTCGTTATTCTTATCTGTGGGCAATTTTGTAATGCCATAAACTTCCCGAAACTTTTGGAAACCCATCCTAATCCATTTCTGCTCCAGTCCCGACTCGAAAATCCTGTCAAAGTAATCTTTAAAAATGAACCTCATGGGCGACCTTGGGGAGATGGGTAATCGCAGGAGGCGGATATCAGAGCAGAGCTTTGGTCCAGCAATAGCGAGTCTTTTGGTCTTTAGACGCTCCTGATACAACCGAAGTCCCCGCCAGTTGGGCGTTCGAACCACATTGACAACGCTGTCGTTAAGGTTTTGTAAGTTTTTAAAGACCGTATGGTCGTCCACTAAATCTACTAGATCCGCCAATGAGCTGGGCATGCGATTGTCCCTAAAGGCCTGCAGTATTGTGGGGTCTTCTGTGATGATCCGTAGGCCACTGGCTCGCATCGATTCCACATCCGTGATCGGCGGATAATAAAGTCCCGCCGTTAAGACGCTGCTCAGTATAGATCCACAAACGCTGATGAAGATCATCAGGAACAGAAGGGAATATACCTCTATTATCTTGTCAGCCAGAGGCAATCGTTCCAGTTGACCTTCGGGCAGGGGTATTCCTAGGTGAAAACGCAAGGTGCTGAAGAACGCGTCCAGCAGCGACCGACGACGGTGAGCAATGTACTTAATTACAAATACCAAAAGGGCTACAGGCAACATGAGCAGGTGCACACTGGGACTAACCACCCTGTCGAAATATCTGCTCGACGGAATCTTCCGGCGGTGTGGCACCAAGAGGCAAATTTGGGTATCCGACACCACCGGACTGAAGGGGAGGCTGTCGTTGATCACCAGATTGGCCACCATGTCCACATTCTGGTCCGCCTGAAATATGTCATAGTTCGAGTTTTGCTTTTCACCGATGGGAAGTATATCCATGGTGGCGTTGATGTAGCGCATGAACTCCACCATCATGAGGCCAATGGGTCCGGACAGACTGATGTTTCCGCCGCCAATCACATCCGCTTGTTCCGTTGAGTTGTACTGTGACACACGAATTGTTGTTATATTTATAATCGAGCTTATCGACTTCTATACCAAAACTTACCCAAAAAATAGAAGGCAGATCGTTGGCAACTTGAACGGAAAATCTATAGCCCTCATTTCGCACCATACTATTCAAACTTCTTCCTTTCCTAACCCTTGTCACTGTTACATTTTTTAAATAATAATATGTCCAAGTCTCGAATTCGGACTCGCTTTGGAAAAGAAGCAGCACATGATCGATACTGGTCTCAAAACACCAGGAAAAGAACTTCCGCATCTCTTCCATCGTCAAAAACCGTTTGTTGTTGCCTTGCGGAACGTAAAGGAAGCTGTAGAAATGACTACCACTGGAGAGTTCCGTGTCGTTGAGGACAGCCAGAATCGGATCATCAAAGCCACTAAATAGGACGATCACCAAATTTTTACCCTTTTCATAACGACGATTGAGAGGTCCTTTGCCTGAGGCAACTGAATAGATCGGCACCGCGAAATGTTCCATTAGACGTTGCTCGAGTGAAGGCCTGAGATAGACATTTCCCGTATAGGGGATAAAACTGTAGAATCCCAGTTCATCGTTGAGTCGATCCATAATCCGAAAAAAGGAATTTATGTCGTTCTCCAGCTGCTCATTTTCCTCTGCGATTTCAAGAGGAATCTGTAGCTGACTACTGGCCAGGATTGGGCAACTAATAAGGATGAGCAGCAAAGTTGATAGGTAAAAAAGTCTCTCCATGGCTGCTGATTCTCTGCGACTGTAACTTGGCATTTGCATTCTTTACTTTATAGAAGGGAATCCTCAAAGTCCTTGTTTGCTTTGTTATTAAAGGACATTACTTTTAACAATGCTACTGGGGTCCGATTTCGAGCTGCTAATAAAAAACGCTTCAAGTGCGGGATTTATTTGAAATATTCTTTATTTAGAGCTTCAAAACTGTTATTGCGATGACGATTGTTATTTTTATATAGTACCTACACTGATAGGAAATTCAGGGACTTTAAGTTATGGGTTTTGAATCCAAAACTTAGAGACTAGTTTGCATAGAAAATGTCTAAAGTCAAAGTTCATTAAGTAATGTTTTAAAAGACAAACAAATTTATAAGGCTATAAAGGCTAAAAATTATTGCTTCATTTCCCAAAAGATTCACCAGCTTCTTAATATTTAATGGATTTCCTGTAGTTCCTGTTCAAGCACAACTTACTCTGCTATAACGAAATTGTTAGGGCGCCACGTGCAATAAAATAAAAAGCAAAACGCAATTAAAACTATTTCAGACGACGCCGTCTCCGCCGCATTTGAGACACATGCAGTGCGCAAATGTTTTGCGTAATTGCAGTTTGGGGCTCATTAAAGACCGGAGCCAGTTTAGCTGACTCTCCTCCTTGGGGGTTTCCTTTGCTTTTCCAGCCGGACACAGCTGGCGTGCGAAAAGTGCCAAGCGGACTTAACAATGCGTTACATTATTGTCCTCCCGCGCGTCGAGTCCGAGAAAAACATTAAAAATCCATTGCACAAAGCTAGACAAATAGACGCGCACAATCGTTGGCCAGGGAGAAGGTGGGGGAGCATTTCCGCCAGACAGACAGATCGGCCGTATATATATGTACACCCATGCATACCCATAGTCCTCCTGCAGTCGTACATCAGGCCCTCCTCTGGTCCTCCGGGTGGGTTGCTTAATTAATAAATTGATTGGATTGTTTTCACAGCACGCGGTTCGGTTGCCACGGTTATTTCATTTCCCAGAACAGCCGGGTTGCTCGGTTTAATCGCATTTTCTTGTACATTTCTTTTATGCGTACTCCTTGGGCATTTGTTTAGTTTTTTCCTTGATTTTCTAGCAAGTCACTTGAGCTTTTTGAAGGAAAGGTTAATTTATTCAAAAGGTTTATACATATTTACTAGATTTATTTTTTGTAGGTAATGTTTAAGTATTGTTTGAATAAATAAATACATTTAAAAGGAGAAATATAAATCGTTTAATTTATAAATTTATAAAAGGAAAGCCTATTCTTAAATTTATTCAATTTGCAACCAAATATAAGGCTAAGTGATGGTATATTTTTGAACTTGCTCACATACATAGATGATATGATATGATTTTAACAAATTTTTAATGAAGCTTTAACGAACAGAAACATAACAAAAATATATATTGATAATTCATTATTATTATTATTATTCTAAACTAGAATTAACTTAACTTACAGACATCACCATTAACTCACATTTCTTTGTCCTCTCGAGAAAGTCCTTCCTTTCAGTGAGCATCTGGTTAACAAATTAATGAAATTTATTAACCGAATAAACACTTTTAGAGTGCTTTCATCTCTATTCTTTTGAGATGAACATGCAGACGAACCCCTGAGCTGCCCTCTGACCCGGTTGCCCCCTTCCTTGCAACCGTTGGGCACCCCTTTTGCTGGTATGCCGTTAACTGCTATTAAGCTAGCCACAAGTTGCTACGCGACAAGCCAACACAGACACGGACACACATGGGAGTCGCCTGCCTCCTGCCTTGTTATTATGGCCAACAATTCAACAGTTATCCTTTGGCTTTCCCCTTTTTCCCCGCTTTTACGAGCGCCACTTGAACCCGTTTATTTTGCATGTGTGTTTGCCGGTCTCCTTTTTTGTTTGCTTGTTTTTCTTGGTCGGTGGCAAACACATTTCACATGTCGCCATCGCCGTTCTGCGCACTCATTTCCGTTTCCTGTTTTGTGGCCAAAACTTCAGAGCCACAAAAAAGGTTTGTCCCGACTCCGGCACTCGGAACTCCGACCCCCTTTTGACCGTTTTTAGTACAATTTTCATTTGTACGCCACGGCCTCGTAAATCATGCGCTGACACGGCTAGCAAAATTGTCGCTGCAGTTCATAATAAAAAGATAAGAAAGAGTCTCCCCCCTGAAAGGACTCGGCAAAAACATGGAGAAATTCTACAGCATTGGAATTTTCAGCGCAGAAATGTCTGAAGAAAGGGTAGGGGATTGGTGGGAATCGCGAAATAAAATTAATAAACTCAAGTGAAGACAACTGGCCAGATGGAGAATTATGTGGGGAATTCCCTAAGTAATAGAGTTCTGGATTGGTTATATAATTAGATTTTATATATTATTTATTTAGCTCTTATCGCAAGTTCATGTTCCAACTACTTTCTCCCACATTCAAGAGCCTTATTGTGAAAGAAATGCAAAATACTCCTCGTTAAGCCATCTCATTTACCTACTCCCGATTCATTCCCATTTCCCTTACGCTGGCAGGACTTTATGCAACGCAGCTTAGCTTTAGCTTTAATTATGCATTGCCACATGAGGCGGCATGTTGAGCTTGCCCCCAGACACTGGCTTTATCCTGTTGCCGGCGGAACCGCTGGTGCGAAGTCCGCACTAATTAATCCCTTTACGACTGAAACCTATCAAAACACAAGCTTAACTTTTCCAATAAAAATAACGACGACACCGCCGCAAAAACACAAAAAATAGAAACGAAAAAAATACCGACGAGATGCGACCGGGAAAACCGCAAAAAGCAGAAAGCACAAGGAATCTGCTAACTTCCTATGACCAGGAGTTAGCTTTACACTGTGAAAAAACGAATACAGACTAAACAAAAGTCCCTGCTGGCTTAAGTCTTATGAAGTTTATGTAAAACAATCAAAGAATATTAAATGTTAAATTTTTTTTTCCTCAAACAAATATTTTATTTTTCTTTTTTATAATTCTTTTATAGTTTTTCCCAAAGTGTATTTGACACTGAGATGCCGAAAGAGCAGACTGGGGCTCCCACCAGCAGCGACATCAGCGACTACAAGTCCCCGTCCTTGTGTCCTTGGGTCCTTTCCTGGCTCAAAATGCAGCAAAAGTTGGCGCACTAATTACCAAGGATTAGTTTCATATTTGTTTGTCAACAGCGGCCAAAGCGGAGTCCTTGCGGATGGAGCGGGTGAAGCCCCCTGCAACTCGAGCAGCTGCTTGTGGCTAAGACCGGGCAACCGGAGAGACCGAGCGAGTGTCCTCCTGTCCTCCGACAAGTTGGCAAGATTATTTATGAGCTCAGCTTTGGCCAAGCGGCGAAAAGGAAATCATGGCAAGAGTTGGGGGCCAACGGCGTTTAGCTGCCTTGGTATTCATAATGAAATTAAGTCGATTGAATGCCCTGATTATATTCATACCATATACATACCTCTGAGTTGGTCAAAAGACCCTTCGGCGGTGGTCAGTGGCAGTGCGTAAATCCGTTGCGCGGGCAAAGCTAAATAATTCAAAAAGCGAAAAAATTAAGTGCAGTAAAGTGTAGGTGAAGTGTGAATACACTGCCAAAGAATACGTAGACTTCAAGGATGCCTTCACTTGGTGTTTAATTACCAGGCTATATTATCGATTAGGCAGGATCTTTCCCTGAAATCGAACTCTACTTTAAGACCCTCAACCAGACACATAAACTATATATATTTTCGATGTGGTCCCTGGCATCATAACAAACACATAGTACCTCTGGCATGTTTATTATTCAGGGAAAACGTATTACCCCGACCCTCCTTCGCACATATAATCAGATTGCAGAATGCAGAGGGCAACCCTTGACCAACCAGGCAAGGAGTTGGGAAAAGGATAAGAGCCCAGGACCAACCACCCTCGAATCGCATGTCTCTAATGTGATTGACCCTTACGCCTCGTTGCTGGCATAATACTTGTGTTATCCCCGGCTGGCAGGGAAGTGCAGGACCAGAACAAGGGCCACGGCCAGGAGCAGGACCAGGACCACGACCAGGACCAGGACCAGGACCAGGACCTTGCCTTTGCTCCCATGTTGGTCATCGTGGGCTTCAATAAATTATCACGCCATATAAAGCAATTAATTCCACAGCTACAGCTACTCCCGCCGACTGCTGCTGCTCCTGCCTCCCGTCCACTTCCTGCAGCTCAAGGGTTGTTTGTGTAAAGTTTTTCCATATTATTTGCTTACAGCTGGCTTCCCTTTTCCACTTTTTCCCGCTTTATTTTCGGCCGGGATAAATAAGCTTTTAATGGGGTTTAGCTCTTGTTTGTGCTAATTGATATTTCCTGCGCCAACGTCACTTTCTTCATAATTCGATTTTCAATGTAGTGCAAATTTTTCAATTATTTCTATAGCACTTTTTAGTGTTCGCCTGCTCTCCGCCCCTTTATGGCCCTGCAAAGTGGCTTGCAAATTACTTTCGCCTTCAGTTTTGTCGCCGGAAAGGAGGAGGACTTACAGTGGGGTTATGGCTCCTGGTTATGGGTCCTGTCATGCAAGTGGTCAGCTTGTAAGTTTGATTGGCTTTTCCTTGCGGTTGTCTGACCGATCTCGATGGCACTGCAGCGTAACAATGTTTTGGCTGGAAATTAAGTTTTGTGCTCCAGTTTGCAGGAACATATTCCATTTTTTTGCTGCTGCAGTTGCAGGATGTAGTGAAAGTGTTTTCTTGGTTTGGGAAACATGTAGCAAGGTTTTTTCTTTTACTTGATTAAAAAGGATAGTTTTTGGGTTACAAAACTAGTTTCTCCTTGGAATTTTTACGTAAAACCGAACATTTTTGTGTCATTTTTGAACCACAACACCTGAAGACCCCCTTCAAAACCCAATTACCCAGCCTATGTGTATACTTTCCCGGTCCCCCGGCGACCCAGTTAGGTTATTTTATGCTCCATTGACACAAGTTCACTGCCATTTGTCGCTGGCCAGTGCAAAGCCATCAATTTCCCAGACAA